CAGCATGTGTTAATGTGCCTTTCCACTTAGTTACCACAGAGATACATGCTGCCCAGAGAGGATACAGAATATAGGATGAAATAGAAGATTAGAGACAAAAATTCAAGAGGGAATAAGCACATGAGATGAGAGATGGATGGGTAAAAAGGTATATGCCAAGGCTTCAGAGACATCAGTAAAGTTTCCCTCTCAATCACTGTCATGGTGGAGAGACCCCTGAAGATCAAGCTGATGAATGTGTGTTTTATATTATATTTCCAAACATAATATACACTGTTCAAAAGTTTGGGGTTGGTAAGATGTTTTTAACGTTTTTGAAAGAAGTCTCATATGCTCATCAAGGCTGTATTTATTTGATAAAAAATACAGTAAAATTTTGAAAATCTATTGAAATTTAAAATAACTTCTATTTGAAATATTTTACAATTTAATTTATTCCTGTGATGCAAAGCTGAATTTTCAGCAGCCATTACTCCAGTCTTCATTGTCATGTCAGTGTTGAAAACCGCTGTGCTGCTTAATATTTTTGTAAAAACCATGATACTTTTTTCCCAGGATCTTCTGATGAATAGTATAAGTTCATAAGAACATCATTTATTTGAAACACATTTTTTTTTATTTGTAACAAAGTAATACTCTTTAATGTCACTTCTGATCAATTTAATGCATCCTTCATGCATTAATTTCTTTTTAAAAATCATCATTTACTCACCCTCATGTCATTCCATATCTGTATGACTTTCATTCTTCAGTTTTGAATAATGTAATGGTCTTTTTTTTTTAAACATTTAATTACAATGAATAGAAATAAAAAAAATGAAGCAAAAGCTCATGAGGATGAGTAAATAAATGTAATTTTAGTTTTTTTATGAACTATCCCTTTAAGCAGAAGAGCTTACTAAATATGGCTAAACATCTCTGTTTAATCATTACTGTTACCTAATTTTTCATGTGTGTTTATGTGCTTATCTGTTGTTTGCAGCCATTGGGTGCAGGGGATTATTTAGAAATCGCACGGCAGTTTGACACGGTCATCATACGGAATGTTCCTCACTTTCGAGTCGAAATGAAAGACCAGGCTAGACGCTTCACCACACTCATTGACAACTTTTATGACCAAAAGGTAACGACTCTTCAAAACACATACTAACTTTGACATCCTTCAAGCACATGCAGGCCTTAAACATGTCCATCGGCAGAACCAAAAACACTTGTTATTCATGTGCAAAACTAAAAAATACATTTGTTTCATAATAACTTTGTCATTCTTTGTTAGCACCACCAACCTATCGACATGGTTCAATTATGTGTTTGAACTCTCAGGTTAGAGTGGTGATATTGGCTGATGCACCATTACACCGCCTCCTTGATCAGGGACCGATGACTGGAGAGGAAGCAAGAGATCGCCTAATGATAGATGAACTCGGCCTTACCGATGTAATGACAACACCGTAACAGTGCCACCTATTGGCATTACATTATAATTCTGAAACTATACATAAACACTGAAAGCACACGTTAAAGCAGCACTGTGTAACTTTTTCTGTGTTCAAAATTTGTTAAATGTATATAATGAGCGAGTACATCATGAATTCATCTTCCAAACCGCGTTTTTGTCTTATTCCGAATCACTACGGTACACTTATAATAAGTACTTCTATTTGGACTATTGTAGCCTGGTCGGGTCGTCGCCGCTGCGGAGTAACACATACCTGCGTGAATCGCCATAGACATAAACTTAGAGAAGTAGCTCCGGATGGAATGTTCTTCCGCGGGATGTGTGCAGTTCTGTTTATTAACCGCTAGAGCGCCAACAGTTACATAGTGCTGCTTTAATGTTGCATGCATGTAAATATACTTAGTCATGTGTAGATAAAATCTCTCTGGTTTATTTTAATGAGCCTTGGTTCTTTGCTAATTCCTGTAGAAAGACATTTGTAATCGTTCATCAGACCTTCTTTTATTTTGCTCAGGAGGCCAGTGAGCGGCTGACATTGTTCACAGCAGATGAAGAGGTCTTTGCCTTCCAGAGGACAATATCTCGCCTCACAGAGATGCAGACCGAACAGTACTGGCTAAGTGGGGATCGGAGTCAAACATGAACTGAAACTCCCTTGCAGTAGCCAACTACCTCTTAATAGAGTCTTTGTCGCCTCCAAAAACATTTGAGATGGTACATTTCCATTACCAAAAACAGACTCTAAGCCTTATCTTATTACTTTAAAAGCAAGTGGAATTGTCCATATTCTCACATCACTATTAATATGTAAAACAAAATATGGACTGCAGGAGGACAATGCATATGTTGCAAAATAAGATGATGTGTAGCACCCTCTAGTGGATCGTGTATTCTGTTGTATTTAGAGGGAACAATATATTTATATTGAAATGTTTGATGTCTAATGTGAATTTATGCAGTTATGCTTCCTTAAATATCAAAGCATATTTACATATTTAAGGAATAATAATTGCTATAAAAAACAATATAATAATTTACATAAAGTAATAATTATGAGATAAAAGTTAAAATCATAAATTATGATTTACCAAAGCGGGTTTTTTTTCTTGTGTGGTGAAAATGAGCTTCCATTCCTAAATTATTAAAATGTTTATGAAAAAAAAACATTAAACATTGGTTGTACTGGTTGTGGTAATGTTAATGAATCTCCACAAACACATTTTATTCTATTTTATGTGACTTTATTATTTGACTTTATTTGACTTTACTTTTCATTTTTAAATTTTTTATTTAATTTTACTTTATTTTGCTTTGTTTTGACCAACCATGATGAGCATAACCTCCAAAAACGGTTATTAATCCAGTTTCTTTAAAATCATAACATTCAAAGGGGTCTAGTTTCTTTAATTTCTCAATTTGGTCTGAAGGTGGCAGTAGAAGAGTTCTGTTGCTTATTCACACCCACGTGCTCTGTGTTATTGTTTTACATGACACAAGGAAAGCATATTGCATATTGCATCCTCACAGAGAGAACTAGACTTAGGCACCCTCACCTACAAACAATACATCTATTACCATATGCTCATAGAGGCTAAAGAAAAACAAGTATCATAAATACACGACCTTGAACCGACACATATCTACTATCAGCTTCCATATGACAATATGTAATCAACAGTGACATTATTACAAACGTAGTGTCTCGTGTACTGAGGAACGGTTTTAGACATTGACAAGAGCTAGTGTCTACACGGTTATTATTGTAGAGGTCACCTGCAGACTTTTCCATCCATGCAGGGTTAGGAACAAAGGAAAGGGAGACAGAAGTGGGAGGGTTGATTTAAAAGATAAGGAGTGAATAGAGGAGCAAACAGTGAAGATGTTACATCTTTAGTGACTGAATAAGAAAACAGTCTTCAGTGACACTTGTTGGCCATGTAATAGTATCACAGAATAGCACCACAAATCGTGCAATTATGTAATATGAATTCTGTGTTTTTTACAGGTATTTCCGACTGTGAACCTGCATAAATGTCATCTTGTATCTCGATTAATGCGATATGTCGATACATACAGGTGGAAGAGAGCATTCCTTTACAAAGATCGTCGTTTTCACCGCGCCCGAGAAAACACGCATCTCTGCAGGAACAAAGGCGTGCTCGTGTTTTGATAAGACGTCGCTGTGCTAGAGAAGCGACACGGCAGAGCCAATTTCTTGATTATGAATTACGTCATGTGCTTGAATAAAACGAGGCTGGCAGCAGGGGGCGTGTCATGAAGAACGAATTCACGCTGGGATTAAAGGGCCAGCGAAAGGCAAATACAAGACATGCCTCAACATTTGTCAGTGGCCCCAGAGCAAGTAAAACGAGCAATTTTCTTTTAATTAAATACCAATATTTTCGTTATTATTTATTAAAAGAAATGGTTCCAATCAAAATGTCAGTTACAATCATTATTTTCTTTCTTGGAGTAGAATAGGCAATTTTACATCCACTGAAAGTGTAATGTAATTTTAAATGCCAAGATCCAAGAAAGACAAAAAGAAAATAAGTAATAAATAAATAAATGTAGCCTCTCATTGCAGTCTATTCCAAGTACTGTGAAAATACAATTTTGAAACTGAGCTCTGCTTTTGCCATATTTGAAACATAATTTGTGGTTATGTTCAGTTAAGTGTTGCCTTTGGATGTTTCAGTCTGTTCTTCACAAAAAAAATCAAATTGGTTACCAGTCACATATGGGCTACTTTTGTGGTTCTATTACTTTCTAGAATGTAGGCATTTAATAGCAACAAATCTTCTCTTCTGTATTGTGACGTAACAGATCTGTCGCTTGTTGATTGGATTTTGAGAAGTGGGCACTGCACTCAAAAAATGGGGAAAGATGAATGGGTTTTTACAGGCGAGTTTAAGCAGACTTAAATTATTGGAGAAAACCTGCCTAATTTACTAGAGAACTGTGTTGTTTCCCCAGAAGATCCAGTTATGACATTTTAGGTCAAATAAATAAATAAAAATAAGATCTGTAACATGCATTTCCAACATAGGGTGAATTTTAATTTCAAACCACCATACGGACATGTTTCAAAAAGAAGACAATACTGCATTGGAACAGTGGAGAAAATGACAACATTTCTGATGAACTATTCCTTTACGATATTAGGCTACTTATCAGGCATCTGATTATAACAAATTTGTCACATTAACTCTCTTAATACTGTACTATTGGCTAATTCTGGTTACCTGAAAATGTTGTCTCTAATCTATAGCACATTCCAGATAATATGCCCAGATAATGTTGTTTGCATGTCTGAACTACAATTTCTAGCAACTGAATCTATATGTGGAAATCCGATAAACTGATAGGGGCTCTCAGTGCTTGGAGTGACTTGTTTGAACATGTCCTCTAGCCTGCTGGCAGCTGTAATGGGGAGCAGTGGCCCTTTAAGAGGCGATCCCGTGCGCGGAATCTAGGGGGCAGGTCCCTGTCAGCGGTAGAGGCTGCCCTTCCCTTCTCGCCCTCCTCCAGTCACTCAGTCCTAAATTGAGCTCGTTTGAGTGCTGACAGACGATTAGAGTAGATAGTCCTCCTGTGCCTTTAGATAGATAGGTGCAGAGAGAGAAAGGGCTTTCTGGATGGGAATTTTCCGCAATGTACCGTTCGTGACATCGAGGCACTGGCGCGCGCTCTAACAAGACACTGTCATTAAGCGATAGTTGCGTCTCTACCTTTAATTGTTAAAGAGACTTCGGAATGCGAAGAGACATCGGGTCAAACTGGCAAATAATACAAAATGATCAGTTCTGTCTACGAGCACGCGTAGTTCTGTCCTCGTTATTGTAGTTGTCTTGATCTGACATAACGGCGTTTTGATTCTAGCCCACTCTGACAGTTCAGTTCTTTTGTCACTACAGTGACTTGCTGCTTGTGATGGTAGTGTGCAGTGACGTTGTGGCGCTTTGTCCGTGGCTACTGGCGAAGTGCGCTGGAGAGATATAGTTGTATTACATCAGTGCACCAAGTGACTGGTGTGCGACACAGAGAAGAGAAAGGGCTCTGGCTGAATGGTGCGTGTTGAGGTATTGCATTTTGCATTCTAATATTATAGTGTATACGCA